TGTGCGTGTGCGTGTGTGTGTCTGTACCTTGCAGACAGTGAAGGTGTTCCCGTACAGCCCCTCCGTGAGCATGAGCCTCTGTGCGAGCACGGCTTTGTCGTTGTAGGCGTACTCAATGATGGACGAGGCGGCGGCGTGCCGGAGCATTGACCGCACGTGACCTTTAAATGTTTGCATCACGGCCGCCATCAGCTCCTTGTTCCTGCGGAGGAAACACAATCGATCAATCTTTATACTTTCACCGGAGCAAACTGAGCTCTTTTTTATCTCCGGTGCAATATTTAGAGTTCTTATCCTTCCTGGATTTTGGTTTATGGACACTCCAATATATTATATATTGTATTGGACTTTGTAGAGCCGACTCACCCGTACATCAGCATTTTTTTCACCACGTGTTTGCCGTACTGTGATTTACACAAACCGATGATGTCATCTGTGGGAGACAACAAAGCACAGTCAGTTAATGTCTGTCAGTCAGCTGCTCCGCTCAGACGCCACCAATATAAAAGCAGGCACTGGTCACCTGCTGCCAGACACTGATGCAAACAACGATTCACCTCATAGATGAGTTGCTTGTTCACAAATAATTGAGGATACGTGTGCAGCATATATATATATATATATATATATATATAGACAGTTCCACTATTTCAAAATAAAGCAATTTGCACATCTGCTGGCTTTAGCTAGCTAACATAACGCATGGAATTCCAGTATGGAATGGCAGCTACTGGCAGGAATAATGTCCGACCATCACTGATTAAACTGGCACAAACCTCATGGGGATTGTTGGATGCTAATTGCTAATTCTGCCCTCTGAGCTAACAAGCGAGTTCCCTTTTTTGGATAATGAACATTTTTCCAAGATTACTGTGCAGATTGAGGCATCTGTCTGTAAACCCTCAGTTATTATGGTTTGTTTTCTGTCCTCCACGTGTGCACAAATCTCACAGTAACATCCTTTTATTAAAAGAATTGGCTGCACATCAGTCACTAGCATGAGGTAACATATGTCACTACTCAGTGTCCCACTGCGACTTATTAGCTTAATTTGGTGTTTCTCATTTTATATTGTGAGTATTGATGCCAGTATGGGTTTATGTTGGAATCAAAACAACAGAAGAGCTGAAAGTAAGACAGTAACACTATACAGCTGGAATGAAACAAGCATAATGACACTAACAGTTAAAAGGAAGCTGATGAAAGAGGCAAACTTCACCTTTGAGCTCCTCAAACGCTTCCTGTCTCTGCTCGTGGCTGCCGAACTGGATGAAACACTGCAGCACTCGCACCGAGTCGTGAGCAAACGCCATCTGGAGGCGGGAGGGCGACAGTGAGAAACAGCAGGCCACAAGATTTTCGAACAGAAATGTGGGAGTCTTCCTGTTCGACTGCTCACATTTCGGAGTTCTTTTAAGTGTTCCCAAATCTCAGCTCCTAACTTGGTGTGCCCAATGTCATAATTACTGAGAGAAGTGATAGAAAGCTGTAATAAACCAGAATTATCCTTTACAGATAAAATAAATCCTTTCTATTGGTACATTTGCAGATCTTTAAGTGAAAACGTCCAATAGTGGAATGGCAGCTGGATTAAAAACAAAGAAGAGTGCGACCTTCAGAAGACACATGTCCCACTGTTTGATTGACAGGTGATCTGTGGACATTTGTGGACTTATTTTCCTGAAACACTCGAGGGATTCTGTGTTCGCAGTGAACAGGTGAAAAGGCAGAGAGAGACTCACCTGTTTGATCTTCCCGCGAATCAGATCGTGAAGCTCCTTCATCAGTTTCTTCTTCATGTCGTTGTCGCAGTTTTTCCTGTTGACACACAGACACACAGACAGACACACACACACATCTGTCAGAGAGCAGGCAGCAGCACTACAATCACGTTAGAAAGTAATCTGCCAGGAAATGTGGGCTCACACATGGTCAGTGTGTTGCTGGATGACTTTGCTTTGGGTTTTTTTGCCCTCATTGAAATGAATGATGTGTATGATGGTGTGAACATGACCTCAGCGGGAAATATGACACTCTTTTATTAGAGCATAAAACTCACATTTTTGTGTGACTTGTTCTGGGATGTTTTTGAGTTCAGCTAACAGACCTTTAGCGTAGCTTCATTCTGTTTTTCAGTCACACACTCACACATTGTCCTGTCTTCTCCTCTTACAAGTGGCCGACATTACTGTCTTTCAGAGGCTGTAGTGGGCTTAGATACTGGTATCATATTAAACTAGAAAACCTCAGGCATCCATTGGTACCAACCATGTCACAGAGGCTTGTTGGGAACGGGGCTAAATAATGCTCCAAAGGGATCCCTTGACCTCTGACCTCAAAACATCTGAATGAAAATGGGTTCTATGGGTACCCACAAGGCTCCCGTTTGCAGACATGCTCACTTTATGTTAATCCCATGCAGTTGTTTGTCTTCTTGAATGTTTCTGCATACTAGGCCCATAAACAGAAATAAAACTGGGTATGACTGGAAAGCTGAGACTCTATGTAGTGTAGGATAATCACAGCCTCATGAAATTACACAAACACGAACCAGAGACCAAGTTCATTCTAAGGATGTACGGTTTGCCACGGTATATTGAGGCCACTGATTTCTCACCATATTTTAGTTCTAGTACAAAAACCTGTAGGCTGGGCTGAGATTGAAAGGAAGCTGACATGGAAAAGTTCACTACTGATTACGTCATCCAAAGCTGAATGCCCCCCCCCCACTTCAAAATCTCATTCAGGCACCACTGGAGTGTGTATGCATGTGTGTACCTCCTGAGGTCTCCCCACACTCGTTTTGCCTGACAGATGATCTCGAACATATCCTTCCTCTCCGCCTGCTGCCTGTTCTTCTTTAGGTCCTTCTTCCTCTGCTGCCTGTTCTTCTTCAGCTCCTCCTTCGTCATCTCCTTTGTCTTCGGCTTAAACTCGCCTTTCTTCATCTTCTTAGCCACCGGACCTGATCACACACACACACACACACACACACACACACACACACCTCAGAAATCACTTACAATGTTTATACATTTCAGTGATAATCATCAGGGATAGAGAGGAGTTCAAGTTCAGACTCTGAGCAGAGCAGTGAAACAATCACAGGCCCAGGTGATACAGAGTTGTTGTTTTGCTTTAATTAGATTGGCCAGTTCTCAGAGAGTGTACAGTGGCCAGAATGGACAATGCACTCCCGGGTCCCTACATAGATAAATAGAAAGTAACAATGCACTGATTCTGGGCTTTTACCAGTATCAGTACAGATGGTCTTTTTCTGTGATTCATTCACTCGTTCCACCAAGATAAGCACATCTGCCTTTTTCCAGCTGTCTGTTTCTCCTCTCACCCAAGATTCTGTTACTGTTCCTTGCAACTTGTGTTGTATTGTTATTTTTAGTTTGTCATGTGGCATGTAGCACTTGGTGACGGCTGATTCAGGAGGAACACTGACACAAGAATGAACTGTGAGTGAAAACACTAAAAAATGAGCAGCAAAGAGACAAAAAAGACCAAATTATAATTAAACAAATGTTTTCTCACCTTCACCCTCCTCTTCTTCCCTTTTCACTTTAAAAGGCAGTTTCCTCTTCTGCGGCCCGTTCCCGGCTTTAGAGAAAGCAAATTTGTGTTGTTTCTTGCCGCCATCTCCACCCTTCCCCGGTCTGCTCTTCCTCTCTGTGTTGTACGGTTTGAAGGGCTTTTTACCGCCCGGCTTTCCACCAAGTTTGGTCCCTATGGAATCTGGACAGAGCGAGACACGTCGATGACAAACCTGGCTTAAAGTGATGGTGTACACAGCTGGTTAATGCTCACCTTTTCCTTTCTGTGCAAGCTTCTTTCCACCTTTAGGAGAGAAGGGTTTTTGTGATTTATCCTCCATCCTGTGAGTCCCAGAGACAAATGGAGATGAGGACAAGAGCAGAAAAACAGACATACAAGTCAAAAATCTAGGCTCCAGATACTTTTGCACACCAGAATCCCACATATTTCCAGGCCTACTTTGGGGCTGAAAGTGTCAGTAAAAAAATCAAACAAATCCAGTTAGATTTAAACTACATATAACAGGAATGTTCCCAGCAGTTAAAAACAGAAGATCAATCATAAATCTAATCATATTTGCTTCAGTACGGAGATAAACATTAGGTTGGGCTGCAGAAATCATTAAAAATATGCATTTGAAAGTAAGATGAATGATTTCAGACAATGATTTGAGACCTACAAGACATAAATATACAGGTGGAGATTGTACACAGGCAGAATGACAAAACCTACAACAGCAGAGAGATAAAAGGAGACCTGCACTGAATTATAGCATTTCTCTTTTAATCCAAGAATCCACATTTTGACTTCAGAATTCAGTTACATTACATTGTTCTTTAAACCCACTACAGCTCTCTGTCAGCTGCTTTTAGTTGTAGCTTTGCAGATTGAGGTTTTAAACACAAATACCAGGTTGAGGCACTGTTCGAGAGTCAGACCACAAATAACAAGAAAACACTATAAAATACCTCCGTCAGCTAGCGAACAACCTAGGAATAAATCCGTTATTACTTTCCATCACTTAGAGGTTAACAAGGTACTTATATTCACACATTTACTTCAGCTGGATTGGTTTCAGACTCTGCTGTCGCTACTTTTACTTCAGAAGCTAACAGTTCACATGCTAGCTTATAACGTCAAACATGGCTGTCAACAAATGTTATCACAGCGCGGGTTTATCTGTAATGTTGACGCGAACAACAACAACAAGAAGTCCAATATTTTTACTGGTGTAACGTTAACTTACATTTCAGACACACACACACGCGCTGTCCCAGCTCCGTCCCATGCGTTCAGGAAACCGCACGGTTTACGGCACAGAACGTCCAATCACACGGAACCTTCGCTGCCGTAAAGCTTAGGTTGTTGCGACACCTCTTTTTCGCCGAAAAGTAGTAGAAAATGGACTTTTAGTTACACGTTAACGTTATATCATCACATTAAAACATTTGTTGGGCTTAGCGGACCTACACTGCATCGATAACGACGTAGTTCGATATCTGTTAGTGGTCTCTGGCGTTATCCGCGCGACTGGGCGAGATAGTGCAGCGGCCATGTTTGTTTACAAGAGTCATTTAAAGGGATAGACGTTTCTTCTATCCGACCGAAGTAGGCATAGCTTCATTATGTAATTATATGGTTATGATTCGATAGAATAATTGTTATTATCTATGCCTTTTTGATCCAACGATGAGGACGGAGATGAAGACAACCGCCATGAACCTTAAAAACTACATTAACCAGTAGGCTTTGCAACGGAGTGTCTTTCCTTGTTGCCTGGCAACGCCTCCAAACTGACCTGGAGAGTCGGAACATTTAGAAGGTAACGTTAGCAGATATTAAATGTGAGTGAAAGTTCATGTAAAACCTTTAGGTAAGTGCTAGTTTGATTAATTACTGAAAATGTAGTTTGTGAAGCTTTATTCTGCTTTGTTGTTACGTTCCCTGTCAGTTTGGTGAAGTTGGAAAATAGCTTTGAATAATAAATTCCAATTTTATAACGTTAGATAAAAAACAGAGCAGGAGGCAGGAGATGATTTAACGACGGAAATGTCGGAAGAAACTACAGCTCCTGTTGGTGAGTACAGGCTGAGAGCACACAGACTATCTCATTATCATGTAATAAGAAAAAGAACACCTAACGTTCATTTAGCTAATGGCTTTCAGATTCAGATTTCATATTGTATTCACTCCATGTTAACACTGAATAGTATAGTAACAGTTAGTATATATAACAACTAACTTAGTTACAATACTGCTAGAAAAGGCTGAATTTGAGTCAACTATTAACAAACAATGAACTACTGAAAGAAGTTCTGAAATAGCAGATAAAATGGAGGTCCTGAATAAGGTTGAAGTTTCACTTTAAATGTAAGATCAGCTGAGACGAGCAAGCATTGAAAGACCCTGATCTGTCAGGTGGAGTGTACCTGCTGAGAGCAAATGAACTTACACTGAGTTAAATAATATGAGCTGTCTGTTGATGTGCAGAGGGTGAAAGCAGTTGAAAAGTAAAGGATGAAAGCTGCTTACATTCAGTTAGATTCAGTGTGAATCAGTTAATCGATGATAATAATAATTGATTCCTTGTAACAAGTAAAATTGTGGAGAGAAACAATTTTACTAAGAGATTAACAGTGGTTTAATATTTATGATGTTAGTGTCTCCTCAGCAACCTATCAATGACCTGATGTTTTTTATTGTCTTGGTCATGATCCAGACTTTTAAAAACAATGATTTATCTCTCTAAGCTAACAATAATGTTTTTTTCTTATAGATGCAATATTTGAGGGAAAGTTCACTCATTGCTGTCCAATGTTCCCCCCCTCACAGGAGCTGATAGCAAACACTCAGCGATGCAGCAGGAGACAGAGGGAGGGTCAAAAAAGCAGCTCTCTGCAGACATGTACTACAAGTATGAGGAGCTTCACTCCAGACCGTCCATCACACCGGACTCTGAAATCCCAGAGAACCTCCTGCACCTCTCGTATCCTTCGCTGAAAATATGTTTTATGAAAAACATTTCTCTCCACAGTCCTTCTCACTTTCTCTCATCATACTCATTAAATAGAGGGAAATAAACATCTGTCATGAGGACAGCACACACAGTTTGTGTTCATCAGGGAGTTTTCCCTGTAGAGGACTTTCTAGCCTTTCATCAACACATGGGCCCTGTTTGATCTGAGCACATTTTCTTTGCCACGACACATTTTCAGTCTCGTCTGTTTGTTTGTTTGTTTGCAGGTTTATGACATGATATGCTATAATAAGAAAATATTTTATTGGTAGTAATTTCATTCAGAGAACAATTTGAATGAAATTTATACGAATAAAATAAGAAATTAATTAGGTATGACACTATAATGCTACAATATATAGATTGCATTACCTTAGACTGTATATGAGAATCGTGCACGATTGTGCATCCGTTATGCAAATGCTTCTTGTAATTTAAGCGAAGGTATATGTACAAGTATGAATAATATAACTTATATATATGTAGAACTTTTCATATACCATACAGTAATAGTACAATAGTGTGAAAAAGCAAGCTGTGGTATATGATATATAAAAACAATAATATAACAATAGCAGTAATATAGTAAGTGGTATAAGTTAAATGAATGTGCATGTGCCACTTCTACAACTCACTGTGTCACTACTTCCATAGTAATAATAAGAATAGAATAGATAATGGAGGACAAGGTGCAGGTTTATTGCTGTAAACAAGCAGTTATCATTATTATTATTATTATTATAGGACCTTTGATAACATAAGGACAGAAGAATCCAAAGTAAATCTTGTGTAAACCATCAGTGAATCTGATCCTTGATTTGTCCTGCCTTCAGTCACTCCTTTGGTTACGACAGTGGGCGCAGGGGGAACCTGCAGCTGCTGGATGAGAGAACTCTGATCTTTATAGCAGGAAACCTGCTCGTCCTGCTGGATGTTTCCACCAAGGAGCAGAGATACCTCCGCTCCTGCAGTGGAGGAGGAATCGGCTCTATCACGGTAAGATGGCTGACAGACTACATGTCACATGGGTCAAGGGTCAATCTGAGTCCTCAGTCTGTCTGTCTGTCTGAGATAGATGAACAGACAGATGAGTTTACATTTAAGCAAGTATAGCTTTCAAATTGTGGGATGTAGCTATAGATGATTATGTACAAATGATATATATATATATATACATACATATATGCAAATAAACCATACCAGTGGTTTGTTTTGGCCTATTTACTAAAAGTCATATATACTTTATACACAGCTACACAACACTGCAAACCATACTGTGGTGTGTTCAGCTTTTTGGATGTATTTTTCATTACTGTTCATGGCCATTGGTTTGCTGCACACTGACTTGAACAATCTGCATGGCCACAAAATAATATGTAACTTTGACAACAATGTATGCAGACTTAACTGTGATAGATTAAATGACTCAAACAAGTGTACTGATTAATTTTCATACCATATATATAATATGTAAATTAATGTAAATCAGGGGCTGACTGGAACTATGGGGAAAAGTGTGCAAGCCTGCATTTGAAAGCAAAAATATATAATACTGTATAAATGATTTCTGGTTCAGGAGCTAAAACCCTGAGAAACACTGTTGTAGCTCTTTCTTCTTTATTATCTTTTGATAAGCAGCTTTAATTCATTAGTTGGTGAGTACAAATTAACTTTTACTTACTATATTTCACTTAAGTGCAACATGTAACTCTAAGCAGTCTGATAATACGGGAGTACAAGTTCTGAAAAATACCTATATACAAAAATGTTTTATTCTTAACTCTTTTATCAAAATTATGAGATAAAAAGTTAGATTATAAGATAAATCTCGTAAAATTTTTATCTTATAATTTTGACTTAACATCGACAATTTTTGTATTATCTAGGCTAATTTTTCATCTTCCATAGGATCCACATGGATCCACATTCTGATATTGCTTAAAAATGAAAATGTTAATTTGTTTAATTTGTGTGTGTGTGTGTGTGTGTGTGTGTGTGTGTGTGTGTGTGTGTGTAGGCACACCCTAGCAAGGAGTACTTTGTTGTAGCAGAGAAGGGAAACCAGCCCAACATCATAGTCTATGAATACCCCTCCTTACGACCGTACCGCATCCTCAGAGGTAAATGGGACTAATATATATTGAGTTATACCTTTTTGAAGTACTCTGTTTCCGTTTCATTGACGATCACGTTTTAACCTTTGTCATTTTACCATCAGGCGGTACAGAGCGGGCGTACAGCTTTATGGACTTTAACTATGACGGGAGCCTGCTGGCCAGCGTGGGAAGTGCACCCGATTTCATGCTGACGCTGTGGGATTGGAGGCAGGAGGAGGTGATGCTGAGCTGCAAGGCCATTTCTCAGGATGTCTACCGAGTCAGCTTCTCCCCGTACAACCCAGGACTGCTCACATCATCAGGATCTGGACACATCAAGTAAAGGACACTGAATCCTCCTAAAACAGCTGATGGCATTGTGTGCAAATCCCCAGTAGCTAGTTCATATGTTTCAACAGCCAATCAACTCGTAGCGAGGTCAGCTGGGCAAGTCAGTTACAAACTGTCAGCTGGTTGAAAAAGAGTTTTAGACAGAGGAAAGAGAGGATCACATCATCAATTTGTTTGAAACAAACTTGCACCCATGGACGGCTCCAACTTCTCAGCCCTCTCCTTTTATTGATAGTTTTCATCGTTAGGGTTAGGGTTAGGGTTCAAATGGAACTGTAACAAATAACTCATTATACATTGTCTCATCTGGTTGCATTGGTGTGAACCGGCAGGGTTTCAGAATGTTGCTAACCACTGTAAGTAGTTGCAAGTTTCAACTTGTCTTGTTGCAAATCTTTTGTTCCTTCTCTCCTTCTCTCTCTCAGGTTCTGGAAAATGGCCGGCACATTCACAGGTCTTAAATTGCAAGGTCTTATGGGACATTTTGGGAAAACTGCAGCGACTGATATTGAGGGCTACGTGGAACTTCCTGATGGAAAGGTCTGTGTCCTGCTGTTCCTGCTGGGTTTTTGTATGCAGGTCAAAAAGGCCTAAAAAAAGTATCAAACAAGAGTCTGTAGCCACACTAGCAGCTCTGTGAGGCTGTACTTTAGGCTGTAAACTCTTGTTTGTTTATTGTCCCTACATAAATCACACTCATTCAACTCATATTTTTCTCCCCTTTCATCCACGCTAGGGGAGCCCCATAGTGAGAACCACTGGTTTAGTATGTTAACAAGCTAACATTTTCTAATTAGCACTACATGTACAGTTTAGTTTTAGTCAAGTTTAATTTTCTGCTTATACATTTGCACACCATTCCTACTTGAACAATGCATAGTGTATATACTTTAATTTATAGTCTTATATTTTCTATTATATTTTGTGATATTTTATTTTGTGATATTCTTGGTACTCTCTTTTGCACTACTTTGCCCTATTGCTGCTGTGTCAATCTTAGTTTCTCCTAAGGGGGATCAATAAAGAAATATCTTATCTTATCTTATCTTATCTTATCTTATCTAATCAAAAGTACGACTGAGGGTGATAGAATGTCATTAGTTTTTTCCATGTACTGGACAAATTAAAATTCTGACATGATTATAGTGCTAGATGAAAAGTCAGGGGATCACCAAAATGATCAAGATTCATCCTGTGGGGAAAATGAATGTCTGTATAAAATGTCAATAATTTGTCACAATATTTCAGTATTGACCAAAAATGGATACCACAGCTAAAATATAGATTGGTAATTTCCAGATCTAAGATGTTTCAATATTTTGTTTTTGTTTAATTGTCTCCAATGTAATCTCACAAAAGACACGTTGCAGTGACTAATAATTTCTCTGACTAAGGGAACATAAAAGCCTTCATGGAAGCAGCAACAAGATGATTTTAAGCATAAATCTTAGACCAAGGTCAAATCTAGACATTAAGATGTGGAAAAAGTAAGAAAGCAACACAAAATAATTATTTTCTTTTTTTATTTCATATGTTTCTGACCAAACAATCTCACCACAAGGTCCACAAAATCTGTTCTGGAGCTGGGTGGACTCTTTGATAAGTTTGTTTTTGTCAACTGCTGTCAAACCTCTGACCCTCGTTGCCCCTCGTCTCCTTCTGTCAGGTGGTGTCTGGCTCAGACTGGGGTAACTTGCTGCTCTGGGACGGGAATGCCATCAAGGTGGAGATTTGCCGTAAAGGGGGTCGGAACTGCCACGCCGGGATGGTCCAGCCGTTTGCCCTAGAAGATGGACAGCTTATGACGATGGGCACTGATGGAGTGGTCCGGGTAAGATAACATAACCTCAGAATGCTTCATTCTTAGATCTGATCTGTAAAGTTTGTAGTCAGAAATGAAAGGATTTAGGTTTAGATTTAGTCTGTACTCTTTTGCATTGTTAACAAATTCCATGAAAAAACCAAAACCAACATGGTTAGTCTGTCCCTAAATACTTTGACTCCTGTGTAACGAAAGTAGAGGTGACAAGATTGTCGTATAGGATCCCCATTAGTTTCTGCTAGTTGCATGTCCAAAATGATGCAGAAATAATCTGACAAATAAGCAGACATTAACAGTTAGATAAAAAAAATAACAGGGAGAATATGAATTGCATAAATAAGAAAAAGGTAGTTTAAAAAGATGATTACAAGTTAAATATATATCAAATTACTCAATATTCTGTAAAATGTTAAAATGTGCTTGCATTTTGAAGCTCTTTATATTAGTGATGTATTTGTTGAATTGAAGTTGCATTTTTGAAGGTTTTCAAAGACTTATTGATGGCTCGAATAAGCAGAATTGAGCAGATCCTGATGGAGATGTATTGTCTGTAATCAGTTTTATTATAATCAGTATGACCCCCCTCCCTCTGCCCACTGCAGGGCTGGGACTTTGAGAGCATCGACACTGCCGACAGTAGCAGCGACGGCGGCAAGTTTGAGATAGAGCCCATGAATGAGATGGTGGTCGGACACAACGTCTGTCTCTCCTCTGTGGTGAGGAGCTCCATGCCTGACTCCTTCGTCTGGTTTGCTCAGGTCAGAGAGCATTAATTAAAACCATTTATAATACACAATCCAGCCTCACCTCCAGAACAAATTCAAACCTGGTCTCTCCACTATGTGGTCCTGTAGGATTCCAGCGGAGCTATCTGGAAACTGGATCTTTCATTCACTTACACGGTAAGTTTCCTACACTTTAGGCTTTCATAGTTCTCCATTAGTTAGATAACAGTTTGCTAACATTAACTTATTTAAGATCTAATTGTATATGTCACATTATCTTTTAACCATCTTTAAAATGAGGTTGTCTTTATAACATAGATGAGCCTGGCCTATAGCATATCTAAGAACCAGAAAGGAGAAAGTTGACTGAGGCTTGCTCAACTGTTATTGGTGCACAGAGCAAAAAGGGGCAGGACTTAGGAAGGGTCAATTAGCCAGACTGTAATCAAGACAAACACAAAGAGAACAAATAGGAAAAAGGTTATCATTACATTGATTTTTAAAGAGGGGGATATGTGTTTATGGTGATGTATAGGTAATATTGTCTCATCCAAATGGAAAACTATACTGCAAACCATATTGTATCATCACATGTTGTAATAAGTGCTACACAGTGTGCTCGCCCAGTGTAATAACAGTTGATGTGTGTTCTGTGTCTCCAGACCCCTGATCCAGAGTGCCTGTTTTCCTTCCATGCCGGGCTGATCCAGGGCATGGATGTGTCGAGGAAATCCCACCTGATGGCCACGACTGCTCTGGACCGTGAGTCACAAACAATTTCACACCTGCACACATACTGCACGTTTCCAAACACACACACACACACACACACACACACACACACACACACTATAACAGGTACTGTGTCTGCCCATGCTCTCCAGGTTCAGTCAAAGTTTTTGACTTCCTTGCAAAAAGGGAACTGACCACCAGCCGCTTCAATCAGGGTGGAACTGCTCTTAGCTGGGCTCCACCTCTGGTAAGTGTGTCACTGTGAAAATGTATCATACTACCACACATGCTGTGTGACAGGAAACTGACCTGGTGTTTGTCTTTAGGTGAACCAGAGTGGAGGTTTACTGGTGACGGGCTTTGAGGACGGGGTGGTCCGGTTGCTGGAGCTGTACGACCCTCAGAGGCTGCATGTAGTGACCGGGCACAGCTTCAAAGGAGATGCCTCACTGCGCCTCAAACAGGCCTTCAAACCCCATAATGCCCCTGTAACAGCTGTTGCATATGAGCGAAATGGAGATATCTTAGCCACAGGGGTAAGATGTTTTCTAGGAAAATACTGTTTTTCACTGAGAGCCACAGGATGGAGGAGCTCAGTGCACCATGGGAAATCCCCCGATAGTCTAGGTCTATAGCAGCATAACTAAGGGATGGTTCAGGACTCACCTGATCCAGCCCTAACTATAAGCTTTATCAAAGAGGAATGTCTTAAGCCTACTCTTGAATGTGGTGAGGGTGTCTGCCTCCCGTACCACAACTGGAAGCTGGTTCCACAGGAGAGGAGCTTGGTAACTGAAGGCTCTGGCTCCTGTTCTACTTTTAGAGACTATAGGAACCACAAGTAGCCCAGCATTCAGAGAACGTAGTGTTCTAGTGGGGTAATAGGGTACTATGAGCTCTTTAAGATATGAAGGGGCCTGACCATGAAGAGCTTTATAGGTGAGGAGGAGGATTTTAAATTCTGTTCTACATTTTACAGGGAGCCAATGCAGAGAAGCTAGTACAGGAGAGATGTGATCTCTTTTTCTAGTTCCTGTCAGTACTCATGCTGCAGCGTTCTGAATTAATTAGAGCGTTTTAATGGACTTATTGGGGCAACCTGATAATAAAGAGTTGCAGTAATCCAGCCTTGAAGTAACAAATGCATGGATTGGTTTTTCTGCATCTGTCTGTGATAATATGTGTCTAATTTTTCTAATATTACGTAAGTGAAAGAAAACAGTCCTAGAGGTCTGCTTTATGTGGGAGTTAAATGACAAATCCTGATCAAAGATAACTCCAAGATTCCTGACAGTGGTGCTAGAGGCCAAGTTAATGCTATCTAGAGTAACTATATCTTTAGACGGTGAGTCTCTAAGGTTTAACATCAGAAAATTGCAGGTCATCCAGGATTTTATGTCCTTAAGACATGTTTGTAATTTAGATAATTGATTAATTTCATCGGGCTTGATTGATAGATATAACTGTGTATCATCTGCATAACAGTGAAAGTTAATGGAGTGATTCCTAATAATGTTGCCTAAAGGGAGCATATATAAAGTAAATAGTATTGGTCCAAGTACAGAACCTTGTGGGACTCCATGACTAACTGTAGTATTTATTGAAGATTCATCGTTAACATGTACAAACTGCAAGCGATCTGATAAATATGACTTAAACCAGCTTAGTGCGGTTCCTTTAATGCCAACTTGATGCTCAAGTCTCTGTAAAAGAATTTAGGGGTTGCATTCCATGGAGTCCGCCATGTTGAACCGCCATGTTTCTGCAGTAGCCCAGAACGGGCAAGCGAAACACTGGCAGTAAATAGGGTGTTTATTGCGAGTAACACGGCAACCGTAGTCCCTACTACACACTTCACAGCCCGTTCCCATTCTCAGGTCGTCAAAGCGGCACTCCGTTAGTTGCAATATACAACATCACCACTAGATGCCACTAAATCCTACACACTGAACCTTTAAAGCCTCTCATAGGAATGAGTGTCTCTAAATCAAGTTCATGTTCATTTAGTTGTAAGGTGCATAGTGCCAGAAATGTCTCCCACAGTTAGTATGAGGGACATGGCTACTTTCTACGAAAAGGAAAAAGCTGTTCCACTTTGAGAATTTGAACTTGTTTGCCAGACGTTAGGTAGATGTATGAATTCCTCCATTGTACACCTTTTCAAGCTAAAAAACATGGCTGATTAAGCAGTTGCTTCAAACCGCTCAGCTCCGTTCCGTCCAGCAGAAAATGTTTGCCCTCCGGAAGATTTCAGCAGTTACAAGGACATTCTAGATAGATAGATAGATAGATAGATAGATAGATAGATAGATAGATAGATAGATAGATAGATAGATAGATACTTTATTCAAACTTTTTAAACTACCTCTGCAACCCAAATTTCAATTGGTTTGGGCCTGTTCATTCTGATTGAGGTGTTTCATCAGACACTCATTTCTGACAAAACTTGACAGAAACAACATAGCTCAGAAAGAAATGTGGAGTTTTGAGAAGTTTCTACTGTCAGTTTATTAGTCTAATTTGCCTCACCTTTCTGACCTCTCACCACCACCTTCCTGTTCAGAGCTCAGACTGCACTGTGTTCTTCTTCACTGTCGGGGAAAAATACAACCCCATCGGCTTTGTCCGCGTTCCCGGGCCCGTGCAGGCACTGGAGTGGTCGCCTCATTCCCACGTGAGTCTGGTCCTTGCACTTGAATATCTCTATACACATTTGTGATGTAACATTATTGATCCAACTAATTTAATTTTTTATAATCTTACCCAGAGTGAAAACAGGCTGCTGGTCCTGTGTCAGAGCGGTCACGTGGTTGAGGTGCAGAATCCTGATCCAGAGGCCCAAAAACCGAACAAAACCTTCCAGCTGCCTGAACTGCCCAGCAGATCTTTCAGGTTCAGGAGCATCAAATCTCGAATCAAAGTATGAGCCTGGTCTGTCTCAGCTTTAGTCTGTAGAGTTTTATATGTCCCTTTTTACCGCTATATTACATTATACTGTATGTTATGTATGTAATCTACATTAGAATTACTCTTGTACTTGCCATGTGTCACTCAAGTATTTTCCTTTCTTAAAATCTTAAAGTTTCTTTAAAAGGTTCACTGCATGGTTTTACTGAATATAACTAACTAACTAATTTGTGTTTTTTGTTTGTTTGTTTGTGTGTTTCAGAGGGAGGCGGAAATCGCAAGACGACAAGCTGTAAAGGAGAAGAAGAAGAAAGAGAGAGAAGAGAGGTTGAAAGAATCAAAGCAGCTGGAGGAAGAGGAAGAAGAAGAGGTTGAAGAGGAAGAGTTGCCCCCTATCTACATCCCTGACCCTCCAAGTCCTCTCTACTGTGGCTTCTACTCAGAGCCTGGCCAGTTCTGGCTCTCCATGGTACACACACAGACAAACACTCACACGTCAATCATTAGTATTAAGTATCAACCGAAATGGGTCTGTAGCACAGAGTATTGAAAATTATCCAATTATCAACCAATTATTACCAAGTATTCAGACATTCAGCCTAATTTGTAATCTTCACTTATTCTTTGACAGTTTCTATTTCTATTATATTGCATCATATTTGTAATCAGCTCCTGTATGGTAAGGTAAAGCACAGATTGTTTCAAAACTATATTTAAAACCTGTTCAAATGATACCCAGTTCCGTTGTTTTTAATTCTAACCTGACTGTGCCAGATGATTTGTTACACATAACCATCTGGGTAGTTGTTGTTGGAAACTGTTTGAATAGGTGCACAGGGCAGGTGACCATATAACGTAGTCAGATTCTTACCATAGCCAATCGGGGGAAGAGTGGAAATATTTCAGTTCTGGTCTGACTGATGCTAGCAGCATCCTAAGAATGTGCTTAGGACATAAGCGCATAGCTTAATACATGATATCATGATCTCGTCCAGCTGCTTAGCATGGTTAATTGAATCCATTTCTCTCTCTCCTGCAGGGAGGTTTTGACTCAGGATTCTTGTATCACTGTAAGTTTTCTGAGAAGCAGGACCAGGATCCGGACCAGCTGCAGGACGAGCCCTTTGACTTCCTTCCTGTCCACAATGCAGATGATGACCCCATTCGCTCCATCACCTTCAGGTAGCCGGAGGGAAAACTAACAAATCAGTATTCTTTATATCAACAATAAATCAAAAACTGAATATCATGTGAAAATGTTGCTCCTGGTTTATTTAGATTATTTAGTGCAGCTTTAAATCTATTAAGATTTAACACAGACAGCCTGTTTAAAATAAGAATTTAAAACCCACTCTAGTGTGAAATAAGTCCAGAGATAAAGGACTCCTTTAGAGCCTTTACTATTACTATTTACCTATTGAATAGTATAACGTTTCTCTCCTGGTGTTTTGTGGTTTTGTAGCTCCAACAGGCAGCTGCTGCTCTGCGGCATGCACTCAGGCTCCATCAGGGTTTACCCTCTGCAGCCTGGCGACCAAAGCCTCACCTCCATGCAGGCCTACTGGGCTCTCAGCGTCCACGACAATCATTATGGACACCTGCGGCACATCTGCTGTGGCCATGATGACCACTTTGTGCTGACAGCGGGAGACGACGGGAACATCTTCTCCTTCACCCTGCTTCCTCCAGAGGAGCTAGAGAAAGGCCTGCAGAGAAAGAGGGCCAAGGTTCCTTCTCCCAGGGTCAGTCCACATTTTATTAACATATTGTTTCTTTTCTCTTGTGTCTTTTTAGCTACACTAGCAGTGAGGTTTTATGGAAAACAAAGACAGTCTGATTGACTGAAATATCTCAACATTCATTGGATGAATAGCTATGCTCACAGATGATGTATCCTAGTAACTTTGGTGATCCTCTGATCTCATCTCTAGCGCCACCGTGAGGTTCACATTTATGGTATTGAATGAAATAACTATTGAGAGATCTGCATGAACTTTTCATCCAATACCATCATCATATTAAGGTTTCAGTTCATCCAGTTTGTAAGCAATATCAGCCTCAGCTATACTTTGTGTTTAATGCTAATCATCATATATATAAACTCATGCTTTTTTTAAATGTATTTTTTATTCTAATTAATGTTAATCCCCAGACTCTTGAATCAGTTCTTAACTGTTGCAATTGTCACATGTTGTTTTTTGTAGAACTCATCACATGGTTCTGAATTTTTGGCAGAAATAGGTAGCTTGGCTAATTGGATGGATGTAGATGAATATCAATAAAAAAGTAGTATCTTGTTCACACATTATTCTAACAGGTGGGTCTTGAGAATGAGGCGTTAGCCCAAGACATTGAGGACCCAGCAGCTTACAGGTGAGTGTGAATAATCTGGTTAAGGAAATTGGTCCTCCTCTTTTCCTTTGTTCTTATGTTCTCATTTTCCTTTACTTCTTATGAAATATTTGTACAGTTGACAAGCTGTCTGTATTTTATTCCTCATTATTTTGGTAATTGCTTGGATTTAGCTACACCTATATTTAGGGGTCACTGTAACACAAGAAAATCATAAAAGTTTGATCTGATCTAACCTTCTGACCCCTACCGACTCCCTCCAGCATAGAGACGGCTAAGCAGAAGCTGGAGAAGGACCGCCTGCGTCGGGAGGCCGAGCTAAAGATTGTGGCAAAGCGGAAGAGGATGGTTGAACTCCAGAAGGAATTTAAACAGCTGCTGAACACCAATCAGAGTCTGCCTGAGAATGTTCGCCTGAAACCTGTGGTAATCTAAGTTAATGAGTTAACTTAATAAGTTATTCATTGTTGATTTCAATACATATTAAAGTATTTCAGCTATAGAGAATAGACTGCAACAGTAACTTTGTCTAAAGTTATCGCCTAGGTAGCTAACATGAAGCAGGCTTAATGACATAATTAACCTTCTCATTTAGACTGATTCTGAGGAAAATCTCAATTTAAGGTATTTTGTGCAACCAACCCCAGGCAAACTATCGTTCATGTTTGGATAAGTCTGCAGGGAATTAATGTATGTTAATGCAATGACCTCACTTGTGTATGGTGTGTGTGTAGGAGCTGCAGCTGGACCGACGTTTCAGTGAGCAGGCAGAGAGGGTGAAGGCCCAGCGGGTGAGGGAGGTCAGAAAGGACATGAGCTGGGAGGAGGAGCGCTGCAGTATAGCTCTCAGCAAGCTACAGGACTGGTACTGACTAAACACACACACGCACACGCACACACACGCACACGCACACGCACACACACACATCTAATCTATAAAACTGAACACAAAGGTTCTTGACAGGACAACATTTAAGAACCAGAACAGAGAGGTTGGATATTTCCACAGGTTCTTTTACAGTTTTTCTTATTTGTTTGCATATTTGTCACACTTAAATGTTTCAGATCGTCAAATCAATTTTAATATTAGACAAAGATAACCTGAGTAAATACAAAATGCAGTTTTTAAATGATGATTTCATTTATTAAGGGAAAAATGCTATTCAAACCTACCTGGCCCTGTGTGAAAAAGTAATTGCCCCCCCTTCTTAAATCATGAATTAACTGTGATTAACCAAAAAATTTGGTTAATCACAGTTAATAAAAAAAAAAAAGCTGAGTTCAATTTCACTAGCGACAACCAGGCCTGATTACTGCCAGACATGTTGAATCAAAAAATAACTTAAATAGAAGCTGTCTGACAAAGTGAAGTAGGCTAAAAGATCTCAAAAAGTAACACAATATGCCGCGATGTAAGAAATTTAAGAACAGATGAGAAACAAAATCGTTGACATCTATCCGTCTGGAGAGGGTTACAAAGCCATTTCTAAGGCTTTGGGACTCCAGTGAACCACGGTGAGAGCCGTTATCCACAAATGAAGAAAACTTGGAACAGTGGTGAACCTTCCCAGGGGTGGCCGGCCTACCAAAATTACTCCAAGAGTGCATCGATGACTGATCCAGTGACGACTGATGTGGTCACAAAAGAACCCAGAACAACATCTAAAGAACTGCAGGCCTCACTTGCCTCAGTTAAGGTCAGTGTTCATGATTCAACAATAAGAAAGAGACTGGGCAAAAATGGCATCCATGGGAGAGTTCCAGGGCGAAAACCACTGCTGACCAAAAAGAACACAAAGACCCGATAATCCCCAAGACTTTTGGGATAATATTCTGGACTGACGAGATAGAAGTTGAACATTTTGGAAAGTGTGCATCCCATTACATCTGGTGTAAAACTTACACAGCATTTCATAAAAAGAACATCATACCAACAGTCAAACGTGGTGGTAGTGTGATGGTCTTGGGCTGATTTGCTGCTTCAGGACTCAGACGACTTGCCGTAATTAATGGAACCATGAATTCTGCTCTCTACCAGAAAATCCTGAAGGAGAATGTCCAACCATCAGTTTGTGACCTTAAGTTCAAGCACACTTGGGTTATGCAGCAGGACAATGATCCGAAACACTCCAGCAGGTCCACCTCTAAATGGCTTAAAAAAAACAAAATGAAGGTTTTGGAGTGGCCTAGTCAATGTCCGGAATTAAATCTGATTGAGATGCTGTGGCATGACCTTAAACAGGCTGTTTGTGCTCGAAAACCCTCCAATGTGGCTGAATTAAAACAATTCTGCAAAGAAGAGTGGGCCAAAATTCCTCCATAGCGATGTGAAAGACTCATTGCCAGTTATCGCAAACGCTTGATTGCAGTTGTTACTGCCAAAGGGTGGCACAACTAGTTTTTAGGTTTAGGGGGCAATTACTTTTTCAAATAGGGCCAGGTAGGTTTAGATAGCTTGTTTCCCTTAATAAAGAAAAAAACATAATTTAAAAACTGCATTTTGTATTTACTCTGGTTATCTTTGTCTAATATTAAAATTTGTTTGATGATCTGAAACAGTGTGACAAATTAGAAATCAGAAAAGGAGCAAATACTTTTTCACAGCACTGTACTTGAATGGACATAAAGAATGTTTATTAACCATTAACTTTTATTTGGAATCACAAGTTATTTCTGATAACAATTGACTGAATATTTACATATGGATTTGAATTTTCTACCTAAATAATGTTTTCATTATTCCTCATTCAGGTTCAAGGACTCTCTGGAGGCAAACGTGGTCACTGTTGTCGCCATCTGCACCGACCACAGAGTCTCCACCTACCGTCTGCCGGCGCTCACCGAGCCTTCAGCCCGGGTCGGACATCAGAGCAAACCCAGCTGGCCCGACGGAGCCACTGCACCAGAACGCAGAAAATCCAAGGCAGAGCCTGCAAAAGACAGCAGCAAGCTAGACGGTAGGACTAGGGCTGTCACAATATCAGATTTTCACTACACGATTATGGTTGCCAAGGACTCACAATTACAATATTATCGCAATATCTCTAAAAAATGTTATCAGTCAAATTCATCTTTAACTTGTAGTGGCAAAACACCCATAGGCAGTTTGTTTGTTTGTTTCACCTGTAAAATTAAAGTCACGTTTGACCTATCAGCTGTGTGTGTTCACCAGAGGAGGAGGTGCCCACCCCCCCAGTGGCTCGTCCAGAAGGGATAAAGCTGGCAGATCGGCAGGTTGAGAGGCTCCGAAAGGCTGCAGAGAAAGCTGAACAAGCTCGAGCAAAGATAGAGAAGAGGAAGCAGGACTGGGCCCAACTGTGAGTGTCAAGTCCAACAACATCACCTCAGTCCTAGATTAACATGGTATTCTCCATTTTCTTTTATAGTCAGGGTGTTTCCTGTTTTCTTAAAGGTTCTGTATGTAACTTTTAGAAAACCGTTGATAATAGCGACACCAGTGGCTGATAAGTGAACTGCATTTTGCATCCTGTTGCTTACGCTCTCACTCCATACACAGTCCGCAGTGACATACACTAGACTGAACGCTGGGAAATAAACTACAATAAACAATTTTTTTAAGTTACGTTACAACCTGTTGGCAATAAAAAATTATTAATACATAAAAATAATACATAAAATCCTTCAGAATGTTAAATACAGAATCTTTACAAATTCATAGCACTTTAGGGGGCTAAAACGAACTGTGGGGTTGTACTGTAACTATTGCAATGCTGGTGCAAAACTGTGACGGACTGTTGGTGTCTCAGTTATGCAGAGAAGCCGGACGAGAACTGCGAGGATCCACAGGATGTGCAGGCCATATGCGAGGCCGAAGAGAACATCGGAGACTTGAAGCTCAAGTCAGCAAAAGACTTCACAGTACCCAAACACCTGAGGATCAACGCTGAGAGGAAGAGAGCAGAGCTGATAGGCCTGGAGGAAAATGTACACACAAACACACGAATGCCCTAATACACATCTTAGCTTATTTACAGCATGAACTCCTTCTGTGTAATTTTGGACTCCTGAGTGTGTCACAAGTGATGAATTGATGTATTGTTTCATGTCTCAACATACAGTAATGAAAAAAAAGAAGAGAGACAAAAAGAGAAATATTTACAAATTTATTAAAAACAACAAAAGTAATTTGATTCATTAGCAGATTAATTTAATGCCTTTGTCCACCAGATCCGCGAGAAGCAGACTGAGATGAATCGACGGATTGTGGCGTTGCGGGACTCCAAGGTTCGTCTGGTGTCTCAGTTGCGCGCTCAGGCTCAGCTGGTCCAGAAAGTCCAGCAGCGTCTGGCAGCCCATCTCCACTGCCCTCCACCCACCCTGCCCACCATACTACCAGAGGAAACCCCAGAGAAGAGGCTGCAGTACAGCAACGCTACCCTGGAGCGATACCGGGTTCTTAGGGAACAGAGGTACAGGGGCCAGGTTTTAGTTTGACACAGTCTAGACTGAGTTTAAATGATCATATGACCCAGACAACACATGTTTAAACCCATCACCCCACCATATTGTTTTGATTAGCTGATTGTGTATTTTTAAAGGAATATATCTATATACCTTTTTTATATAGATATGTTTATATATATATTTATATATAGATATATTCTTAATAATATTATATGTTGTATGTAAATATGTTGTATGTAGATTTGGAGTTGTAACGAAAGTAATTTCCCCCTGGGATTATTAAAGTATTTCTGATTCTGATTTAACAGGTTCCAGACCTTGGAGCAGGAGGAGCAGGAGGGAGCCGCAAGTTTTTTGGAGCAGCTGGAGAAAGAGATGAAAGAAGAGGAAGAAGAAGAGGAGGAGAGAGGAAAGGAAGGGAGTCTATCAGCTTCACCTGTAACTGGAGAAGAAGAGGAGACAGCAGTGGAGGAAGGAGCGGAGCTGAGTGAGCTGGAGGAGGAGCTCCAGAAGGAGGAGGAGATGAGACTGATGCATGAGCAGGACTCTCTGCTGGAGGAGGTCTGTTCTATCTTCTGGGTAGTATGTGTAACAGTGTATAAACTGTATTATAATGTGTGGATGTATTTTTATTCATCAGATGGAGAGTTCAGTGTGTCAATTCGATGCAGAGCTCCGGCTGCTTCGTCACCAGAAGCTGCGTCTGGACTGGCAGCTGAAGCTGGCCGACCTCCGCCAGCTGACGCTCTATCAGGAGCTGCTGCTCCTCAAGGACTTCGAGAGGAGGGAGGACGACCTGCAGGAGAAGCTCAACGAATGCATAAAGGAGGAGGACAGCATCACGGTGGGAGAGAGTTCACATACCTATGGACTGAATCTTTGCATTGGATGTGAACCTTAAGATATGTGTTCCCCTTTCTTCAGGCAGCCTTTGGTTTCAGTTCAATTCTGTAAAATGTAAAAAAAAAAAAAAAGAAAGTAAAATCTCTGACTTTGGTTCTCCCCAGTAGTAATATCAAAGTTTGCAATGCATGCAGCTTACAGGAACACATACTTTAGGCTTCACCAATCGTTTTTCTAAAAACAAATATTTATGGTGAGACACTGCAGACTGAAACAATGGAGAAGATGTAAGATTAATGCACTGGTTCATTTTGAGATTTTTGGCTTTTTATTTGTATTACCATGGAAAGAAAACACTCAAAATACACATTTAATTATTTAACTACACATACATTGCATATTTAACCATAACATTTCAGAAAACTTGTAATATAAAAAACTTCACTTCAGTCCCACTTACATACACCAAACCTTCCAGTTTTATTCCTATCTATATTATGAAAGTTTTTACTGAAGGGGTTCATTCATACAGTATATCATTCATAGCCTGATTTATATCACATTTCATTTTTAAAAAATATATTTTTTATGGACATATCTAAAATTGTAAAAAAAAGAATTTGCTTCATCTAATGTTTAGATGTCTGTTTTGGAAATGTTTGCAAATTGGTGCTTTTTTAATTAGCTAATGCCTCATTAGCATATTTAAATATAAAATTGAATAGAAGTACGCTAATAGAGTGCCCTGGTAGCTCACCTGGTAGAGCTGGCACCCCTTGTACCAAGACTGAGTCCTGCAGGGGCCGTGGGTTTGACTCTTTTGCTGTCTGTCATCCCCCCCCTTTCATGTGAATCCTAATCTATCACTATCAATTAAATGCAATAAAACCCCATATATATGTAAAGAACTTGTAATTCAAAAAATAATTGTCTAAATGTGAGTAATCACCTGGGGAAGTTTCATGGTGATAAAATTACATTTAAAAGTTGCAGTAGTCACATAAATATTCCACACATTCTATATTTAATAGATAGATCTTTAAATTGCTGATTGCTAATGATTGATTTAAAAAAATCAATATTTACTTAATACTAAATTATGGGAAACAACTAGAAATAGCTACAGCAATGTCGCCAAACAGCATGTCATATTTTTTTCAGCAGTTGCAGATGAATTGAGATCCGTTTCTGAGTTTTAAGGTACCACTCTATATTCTGACAGAGTAAGCTGGAGGAGTGCAGTGAACTGCTGGAGCAGAAGGGGGCAGACATAGCCAAGCTGCAGGAGAGAGAGAAGGCTCTGTTTGCCGCCTTCCAGGCCTTGCTGGGCGAGAGCCACAAGTTTGAAGAGTTCCTGACCAAAGTCTTCAAGAAGAAGATAAAACGTGTGAAGAAGGAGCAGATGGGAAGTGAAGGTGACGGCAAGGAACACAAGTGTCATGCTCTGTGTGTGTGTGTGTGTGTGTGTGTGTCAATTGTATCCATGTGTCCTTCATGGTAAATGTGCGTTCGCAGAAGAAGCAGAGGACAGTGATGAAGACTCGGATGACGACGATGACTCGGATGATGATGATGATGATGATGATTATGACAGCGGCGCAGAAGAGGGACAAGCTGCTCTGGACCCCAATGTTTGCCCTCCAGGTCAGTATTGTGGTGGATAAAGTATTCACATCCTTCACTTTCACAGCAAGGTGTTACAGTCGAGTCCTTATCATTTCCTCTGGTGTTTATATAAAAATATTTATCATCCATGCATCCCTGTAGGGAGAACAGATGTATCTGCAAAAGTCACTGTTAAAGTCCCACTCAGAGTAACTCTAAAATGTAGATGTGCTTTCTTAGTTGTGGCAGGAACACATCACAAACGACATCATCAACTATAAGTATAGATCTGTAAGCGTGTGTGTTTCTCAGGCTGTGACCCGGGATTGTTTAAGAACACACTGCAGATGCGTGAGCGTCGGCTGGACCTGGAGGAGCTCCTGGCGGAGGAGAGGAAGAGCGCTGAAGCTCTGAAGAAAGAGCGGGACCCCCTCATCAAGAAGGTCGCACTCTGCTTTTCACGTCTCCTCATCTCAAATGACGTTTCCACTACCATGTGCTCTTTTTGTCTCACATCCCTGTGTGTGTGTGTGTGTGTGTGTGTGTGTGTGTGTGTGTGTGTGTGTGTGTGTGTGTGTGTGTGTGGTTTTTTTTATTGGCTCTGCAGAAGAAATCGGTGCAGAGCAGTCGGAAGGCAGCAGAGGACAACTTGGAGTTAGTCAACAGAGAGAAACAGCAGAAAATGAATGAACTGGATGTTGTGGTTCCTCTCAGACTGAACCAGGTAAACAGCCAAAAACTGTGGAGGTTTAATTTTGCCACCCTGGATTTCCATACAATTACTCCGCTTTTGTCTTTTGCAAAATCCTTTTGTAAAACACAACAGTTTATTAGCTACTATAGAAGTTTTTCTTGTTAATTTCCTAATTTCATCATCTCCTGCAACCACTCTCTGTCCCTTTCTTTTGCTTCCGAATTCTCCATCCGTCTTCCAGATTGAGTTTGTCACTAACGACTCGGTGCCATCTGACCTGAGCCCAGCGTTGGTGCTGGACCGGACCGAGCTGAGCAGGCTGCAGGAGCGCATCAAGCAGTTGCATGTGGAGAAGAGCGAGCAGAGAGATCTGTACTATAAGGCCCGCCAGCAGCACGTCAGGCTCATCCATGACCGCAAGGACATGGACGCCAATATCCAGGGTAAGCATCCTCTCCTTGAGTTCCTGCCCAGCTTAAGGCGACACACCACAGGCCTCCTTTCAGTCTAGTGGAAAGAAAATGCCCAAAATACACATTTAAGTGTTTATTTTAAAACATTTTCTCTATTTGTCTCTGTAGATTTCTCCTAAATTTACCAAAACTTAGCTGGGAAAAGTCTCCAAAAAGTGCAAAAAGAGTTTCCCTCCACTGGTCGGTTTATTGCTGGTGCTAGAAGATATTAGATATTAACGTGTGCGCTGGTGTGTGTCTATATGTGTGTTGGTTTAGAGCTGGAGCAGCAGTGTGAGCAGCTGATGATGATGAAGTATGGGAGGCTGGTGGATCTGGAGGCGCTGCAGACGCTGTCGGGGAACAGGAGGCTGGAGGAGCTCAAGCAGGAAAAACTCCTCAGAGAAGCTGCATATGCCAAGGAAATCAAACAGTGGGATGTACGCTGACTAGTGTGTGTGTGTGTGTGTGTGGGGGGGGGGAATGTGGGCTTACTGTATCTTTGTGTTGTTTTGTTCCGATCAAAAATCTAACTCAAAATGTCATGTTTAAATGAAACGATTTTCTGGATTTGAATTTGTGTGTGTGTGTATCTGTGTGTGTGATATTCAGGCGAAGGTAGAAGAGGCGCATGAGGCTCTGATGGAGGTGACCAGGTGTAACACAGAGCGTCTCCTCACCATGATGAACCTCCTCGACCAGAAGAAAGACCTGGAGTGCAAACTCAACGCTCGGCAGAAGAAAATGGTAATTTCCGTGCATTAAATTTATTTTATGTGATATTAATGGGCGCTCAGTTGGAGCTGCAGCGGCCCAGGGTTCGAATCCGACCTGCGGCCCTTTGCTGCGTGTCATCCCCTCTCTCGGCCCCCCTTTCCTGTCTGTCTTCAGCTGTCACTGTCAAGGCAATAAAAGCCCAAAAAAATACATTAAAACATATGTGATATTAATCAAAGCTCCACAATGTTCGTATAACCTATTAGACCTTTTTCACAGCAGCCATTTAACATGAAATAGTAGGGTAAACACAGAGCTGTCATGTTAGTACTTGCTTTCTGATGCTTTCTTCTATATCTGTGCACGAGACTGAGTGAACTATTAACTATTGAGGTGTCTGACATACAGTATGTGTGAGTTTGTCCATCTGTCACTGCATAGATATCTGTTTGTGTGCATCCAGAGCCGACAGTTCCTGGATTACAGACGACGTGTGGACCAGGGGGAGATTCGAAGGCTTCAGGAGGTGGTGAAAACACAATCGCAGCAGGCGGAGGCCCTCAGAAAAGAGATTTGCCTCCTGTCCCGTAAAGGAGGCCACGTCCTACCCCCCGGCTATGGCCCGCTGCCCCGGCTCGCCCCTTTGCCCACCCCCACAGACTGCACCCATGCAGGCAAACGTGAACCAGGGCGTCCATCCAAACAGCTGAAAGCACAAAACTCACCTAGCAGACAGGAAGCTCATTAACTGAGAACAAAGGCCAGATAAACACAGTTACTGTGTAGTGAGAGAACTCTGCTTACTAATAGCACTTTCTTATGAATTAAGATTAAAATAAATACTTCAGTTTGTTTCCTGCTGTGTTTATTCATAATTAAAAGGCTTAAATGATGACGGTGTTTGATTTTGTCTTTATTAAGTGCTGTCTACAGGTCTTTGGATATTGTTTGCCCCCGTGACCTTTCCTCTCACATCACCCTCAGCTAATTGACATAATTTTAAAATCTGTTGAACAGAAACAGGCAACAAACGAAGGTGTCTTTTCTCTGTGTCATCCAGCTCAAATCCTAAATACTGTACCTTCAGACTGATGTACCATCTACAGTACATCTCCACCAACATCTTTAAATTTTTAGTAGTCTATCTGGTGGATGATGAGACAAACGAGTACATTGTTTCAGGCCCAGGTTGGCTCTTCATCAGGTACAGAGGCATCGTGTTGACTCACTGTGTCTGTCACTGAATAGAGAGAGTGCCTCCAGTGCGTGTGGCTACAACCACAGAATTGGTGCACATCTCTATGCCAGATTCAATCGGATGTGCAGTGTATAGTGGCCTGTAAAAGTAAAACAAAACCACCAAAGTATTATATTCAAAGTTATAAAGATTTACACAACATCACTGGAAAAACAACCAAAATGTGAAATATCAAAATAATGTAGATAACAGAGACACCATGAGAATATTAGTGGCACACTTGAATGGCAAGGTGAAATTGTTAATGCTGTTAGTAACACCTGTGCTATGTCTGCTGTGAAAAAGGCCTATAACTGTCACAGAGGAAAAAATTAAGCCAAGGGGGACACCTGGTGGTGAAAAACAAGTCCACCCAAGCTGAACAGTAAAGGGGCTGACAGCCACAGCCTGAAGTAGCGAGCTGAATAGCGGACATGATCATGTGTCAGTGAGTTCAGAGGGGCAGTGTAGGGGCTTGTTGCCATCATGTGGTGTTCAGAGGATGAGGCACTGAAGGACTACACTGTGAGATATTTATGAGATATTCAGATTTTAATTAATTTCAGCGCATCGAGTGTTAATGGATACCCAGCAGCCAATCAAAATCGAGTATTAACCCAGAATTCACCCACGGAACACGTTTAATTCATGTCACACAGCTGCTCCAAACAAACCAAAAAGTAATACTGACTTATTATCTGAGCAGGGTGAGCTTAGGTTGTGTATTGTGAGCAGGATGTATTTTAAGGGGGAATCACCCAGTCTGATGTCGCAAACTCTTCAATCCATGTTCTAAAAATGGGTTAAAAGAACACAGTAACATGAACGCCTCCTCTTCCTGGAATGGAGGAAAGCCTGATAACCCCTCCCTCCTCTCTCCGTGTTCAAATACAGCCAGTCCCAGTCAGTTCATGTGTTTCCTGCTTCTTTTGTCTTTCACAGATCTGCAAGTTTACAGAGTAGTCTAATCAACATGTGAAATGCAAGCGCTCTCAACGACCCATTTGTTGCATATCAGCAAGTGAATATAAAAAAGGAAACCCAGTTTTGGTCTGGATCAGTTCCCAGCTTCTTTCTTTTGAGTAAGTGAAACTATTTGACAGTGTGGTGAAATGGCGCAGCAAGGAATTCATATGGACCAGGAAAGACTCTGCTGTTCCATCTGCCTGGATCTACTGAAGGATCCAGTGACTATTCCCTGTGGACACAACTACTGTATGAACTGTATTAAAAGCTACTGGGATGAAGAAGATCAGAAGAAAGTCTACAGCTGTCCTCAGTGCAGACAGACCTTCAGACCGAGGCCTGCCCTGGTGAAAAACACCATGTTAGCAGATTTAGTGGAGGAGCTGAAGAAGACAGAACCTCAAGCTGCTCCAGCTGATCACTGCTATGCCGGACCAGGAGATGTGTCCTGTGATTTCTGCTCTGGGAGAAAGCGAAAGGCTACAAAGTCCTGTCTGCAGTGTCAGGTCTCTTACTGTGAGCAACACCTCCAGCCTCACTATGACGTTGCTCCATTAAAGAAACACAAGCTGGTAGAAACATCTGCAAAAATTCAGGAGAACATCTGCACTCGTCACAATGAGGTAATGAAGATATTCTGCCGTACTGATCAGCAGTGTATCTGTTATCTGTGTTCTTTGAATGAACATAAAGGCCACGACACAGTCTCAACTGAAGCAGAAATTACTGAGAGGCAGAAAGAGTTTGGGGCAATTTGGCAGAAAATCCAGCAGAGAATCCTGGACAGAGAGGAAGATGTGAAGATGCTTCAGCAGGAGGTGGAAGCTATCAATCGCTCTGCTGACAAAACAGTGAAGAACAGTGACAAGATCTTTAAAGAATTGGTCAGTAGTATCAGGAAAAGAAGCTCTGTCATGAAGCAGCAGATCAGATCTCAACAGAAAACTAAAGTGAGCAGAGTCAAAGAGCTTCAGAAGAAGTTGCAGCAGGAGATTGCTGATCTGAAGAGGAAAGAGGCTGAACTGGAGCAGCTCTCACAGACAAAGGACCACATCCAGTTACTCCATAACTACCCTTCGCTGCCAGATCTCACTAAATGTACAGACTCACCCAGCATCAATATCGGTCCAGGACAGTACTTTGAGGATGCGACTGCAGTTGTGTCAGAGGTCAAAGATAAACTACAGGACATTCTTTGTGATGTAGGGACCAGAACCTCACTGACAGAGACTGGACCGGATGTTTTACTGCCACGAGCAAAGCCAAAGACCAGGGCTGAGTTCTTGCAATATTCACAAAAAATCACACTGGATTTAAACACAGCAAACACAGAGGTGTCATTATCTGAGGGGAACAGAAAAGCAACAAATATGGAAGCATTTCAATTATATTCCTGTCACCCAGACAGATTCACTGACATGTTTCAGGTTCTGAGTAAAGAAAGTCTGACCAGACGTTGTTACTGGGAGGTGGAGTGGAGTGGCGGCGGAGTTTCAGTAGCAGTCACATACAAGGATATAAGCAGAACAGGAGATGATAGTGGATTTGGAAACAATGACAAGTCTTGGGCATTGGAGTGTTCCTTTAATGGTAATTATCATTCAAAACATAACAAAATCAGAACTTCAATCCCATGTCCTCAGTCCTCCAGAGTGGGAGTGTATCTGGATCACAGGGCAGGTATTCTGTCCTTCTACAGCGTCTCTGAGACCATGACTCTCCTCCACAGAGTCCAGACCACATTCACTCAGCCGCTCTATGCTGGACTTGGTGTTCATTATCTTGGATCTACAGCTGAGTTGTGTGAGCTCCAGTAGACAACAGTTATTAAAATGGACTTTCTCCTGGAAACCAATTTGATAAAGATGGCTAACAGTCATAAAACTCCAACGTTTATCCATGTGCAAATGTAATCTGCAGTGTGTTGTGAATAGTTCTTTTTTTTAATGTTGTCTACTCTTTCTGCTCCATTGCACAGGCCTCTATGGAGTAGGACAAGTATTCTCTTCAACACAATGAGCTGATTATTTTCCCTTTAAATTACTGACAGTTTTTTTAATTTGACAAGGGGCAAACAACTGACATTATACATGGGGGGTATGTTGGTTAATGTGTTTCCTATTCATCATAATAATACGTTTAACTGATAGAAAAGGTACTGCAATGATATGAAGCATAAGAATTGACTGTATATTTTCTACTTTTGTACCTTAGAGGCAGACTAATGGACATTGAGGTATTTTCACATCCAGAATAGAGGACAGCCATAAAATGACCTTATTCCAAAAAGTGTTCCTTCCACTCAACAGCCATTACAGGCCAGCACAAATGTGAAAGAGCATGGTCCATTTCTTTTGATCTACACGGTGTGATGCAGGCGATATGCACCACTTTCATTTGTAGAGTTTCATATCGTACACATTTAAATAAAGCTCTTGTGTTTCTCCCACTGTGCTGTGGTCAGGGATACTCGCAAGCTTCTCTCGCATCTGTGCTTAATGAGAGATAAGCTATCTGAAGAGCCAAGGGACAACAACTTAAATAGTGTATATCACCAATGCAGTCCCCTAAATTTACTGTCCAGATCCCTACTGAGCCCCATAACCATGTTCTTAAAAATAAGGCATCTTAAGATGAAGCTTGGATGTACATATGATACAAATACAGGTATGTAATGATGTGAATATGTAAATAGAAAGATTGAGATATTTACCAGGATTTATTGATTATATATGTGAACAAATAAAATGTTTTATCCCCAAGAATGAATATTGTATTTCTTGGGTGTTTATTCCAGAGTTACTGTGTGTTGTCAAAGAAATGATGATAGAAATATCTGTATGGCCATAGATTCCTATGAAAATATGACAGACAGCCATGTGAGAACAGATAGTCTAAAAGCAGTTCACAAACAGCCCTAGTGTTTGAAGCTAAATGAGAAGATTTATTACATAACCTTCACAATGTTATTAAAATTGATCTGCTATAGTGGTTCCTATATTAAAACCAGTTGACCCAACTGAATTAGCAAAATAAAGGTTGCTGAGAGATGGGTAGCTGATGGGCTCATTGATTATCTGAATCAGATTTAGGTTCAGTTTGGGTTTTGGAGTGATCAGTCTACTGAGAGAGTTCAGTAAAAATACTGAAGATTCAGTAGTTCAGTAAAAATAATTATATTTTGTGGAATGTCTTAAGACAAAGCTAGATAGGTGCAGTTAGAGTAGTGCTGCTACACATCCATCAGCCATAATATTAAACCCATCTAGGCACCCTGGTGGTCATGAGGTTCTGCAGCCCCATACCAACAAACTGACCTGCGTGTTCTGACAGCTTTCTATCAGAACCAGCATGAACTGTTTCAGCAGTGTGAGCTACAGTAGCTCGTCTGTTGGATCGAACCACACGGGCCAGCCTTCACTCCCCACGTGCATCAATGAGTCTCAATGACCCTGTCTCAGGTTCTTTTCCATCCTTGGAAAACTTTTGATAGGTACTGACCTCTGCAGACTGGGAACACCCCACAATAGCTGAAGTTTAGGAGAACCAGATAATCAGTGTTATTCTCTTCACCAGTCAGTGCTCACAATGTTATGGCTGGTCGATATACAAAAGAGCCACCACAGCACTCCATGTGTCTGCTGTCATGTATCAGCAAACTCTTGTCTATTTATTTTACCAACATAAATCAATATTCAACTCATTCAACTTTGTTCAACTCCATATTTTTCCTCTGGTCATCCACATCCCACCTGCAGTGGCTCTATCCCCCCACAGTTTGGGAATCACTGCCCTAAAAAAAGTTTACTAGGGCCGTCACCTACATATGGCTGATTACAAACAGGAATAAAGGTATCAGTCAGGCAGTCAGTTCAAACCTGTTGTCCATTAGGTCATCTACCTTCTTTACTGTCTCATTGTAAAAAGAACACCACAGGATAACTGCATGGCAGACTAAGAGTTCTCCAAACCTAGTCTAACTGCAGACCTACCTGTAAGGGAAATAGAGAAAGGAGATAATAAAGAGGGCAGAGCAGTCTTTAAGCTATTAAAGTAAATTTAGTAAACCAGATACTATGTTTTACCACCAGGTGTCCCCCCTTCACTTAGACTTCATTCACCCACCAATATATTTTGATTACCAGGTACCAACATACTGGTTCTTATGGGAAACAGCATTTTCACCATTGTCATGTCACATTTTTCATTCTCCACGTTCTCTGGGTGTTCTCTCTATTGATGATACTGTCAGGATCAACAGCAACAATATTTTCTTTTACATCAGGGATTACTGCTGGGATGTGAGAGGACTATTTCAAATTAGGGTAGCTGCAAATCTCTTACACTCTTACTAGGCCTTGGCTATATCCGTGATATCCATTTGAACTGGTTTAACGTAGCTGCAAAGTACATTAATGTTTATGTGACGTTAGTGTGTCAAGTTCAGCAGACTAACCTACTTAAAAAAACATATAATAATAGAAATAAAACATCAGTGACACAAGCAATACAACATCCAAATTCAGCTTTATCCGTCATTACAAAACCCCAAAAGTATGTGAATGTGTCTTATTAGCTGGTCAGACGTTAGAAAACATTAGTTTAACCTATGGTAGACTTTTATTCAAGTATAATTTTATCGAGAAGCCATATTGTTTAAATAAAATCAGATTCTGGGCCATTTAATGTTCAGGTACATTAGCTAACTGTTGTGTCTCGTCAAGTTTGTTAAGTTTAGTCATGTTCACGTTAAGTGTTTCATGTTAGTCCTTCCTGTTTTATTTTGTACTCACCTTTTCCCTCACAATTCAAACCCTGACTTCCTCCCTTTGTGTGATTTTCCCGCCTTTGTAATTATCTGCCCCGCCCCTGATTGCTTTCACCTGTTTTCACTTACACCTAGTATAAATAGTCCTTGTCTCCCTTTATCTTTGTCAGTTTGTTTTGTTAAGTAGGTAAATGAATATTGTCAAGTGTTCCAGTTCAGTGTTCAGGTTATGTCATGTTTCAATTGAAAATTGAGTTTTGTTTGTACTTTGATATTCTCCTTGAGAGCGCCTTTTGTTGATAAACAAATATAATTTTTTTCGACATCTTCGTGTGTTGTGCATTTGGGTCCACCTATATTGTGTCAGAGGTCGTGACACTAACACAGCTTGGTACAGGTGTAACGTAACGTACACATTTCTGGTCTGACATGTCATTGTGTGTCTTTCTCTGCTGTTTAAAGCATCTCTTTAATTCACCATAAATATTAATTATGTGTCATCTCTGTTACGATCACTTTGCTGCCAGTGTTGGTACAGCTGTGTAAAAACCTCACCTATCGTAATGCATCATGGTCACTATTCTATTAATTAATGATCAGAAATGGCCATTGGTTGACGTGCCTTATCTAT